AGGAATACAGAGGTTTTTTTGATATTCTTAAACAACCCTATATTCCTTGTCAGACTTTCATGCCTGAATAAACTGGGGTCCCCGCCTCTGCTTCCAGAGGCAGTATCCTACTGCTATGGTTTGACTGTGTGCCCATCAAAATTCGGGTGTGGCCAAGTGATAGTTTCAAAAGGTATTAAACACCTTTAAAAGATGATTAGGCCGCGAGACCTCCTCCCTAATTAATGGAGTGGAGGCATTTATAAGAAAGGTTTCATACAACATCTGGCCAGCTTGCCCTCCAGTTTTCTGCCATGCAAGGGCACCGCATTCCTCCCCTTCAGAGGACACAAAAACAAGACACCATCTTGGAAACTGAGAACAGCCCTCACCAGACAACTGAATCAGCTAGAGCCATTATCTTGGATATCCCAGCCTCCAGAACTGTAAGAAACTAAATATTTGCTCTTTAGAAAGCACTCAATCTCAGGAGTTTCATTATAGCAGTACAAGGGAAACTAAGACACTTACAGACCTGGGCTAAAGACAACTAGCAGAAGAGGGAGAGAGAGAAGAAAATGCAGCTATTGCAAAAGAAAATAAAAATCTGGGCATCAGACGAAAGTAGGTGACTCAAATATTCCTGATTATTCATGTTAAGGCATTATTTTTTATTTTCTAAATTAAAGGTGAACCAGCTTCCACACCTAATAAACTTGCAGAATATGCAAATTTATATATCCAAAGACAATTTAAATGTGCTCATGAGAACCAAGTAATATTATTTTGACTCTATCTTTTATAAAATAGAAAAAAAGAGACAATCTTTCACTTTGAATATTTAAGGGAGATCTCACAAAATTCACCTACAGAGTAGACCAGTCCCAAGAAACTGTCAGGAATAAGCACTTACTCTTCCCTGCATGGGAGCAGCTCAGAAGCTAAAGAGGACTCAAATGAGTCAGCTGGGAAGGGCAATAACTGAGAAAATGGATGTTTCTGTAATTAGAAGAGAAAAGGAAAAGGCTAATTTTCCCTCTGAAGTAATATTTTTCCCCAAAGTACAAAGTTATGCCTACTTAGCATTACTGGGTGGTTATTCTCAGACTTTCAATGATATTAGCATTTATTAATACGTCTATTGAGTGGGGTTTTTTGTTCCTATACTGTATGTAGCCCCCCAAAAATCACATATAGGAAACTTACCTCCAATGTAGCAGTGTTGGGAGGTACTTAGGTCATGAGGGCTTCACTCTGTTGAATAAATTAATTCCAGTTATTAAAGGGGGAGGCTACTAATTTGTTCTCTTGTGCTCTCACTCTTGCTCTCTCACCATGTGATGTCCTTCCACCACATTACTTTCAGGAAAAAAGCCCTCACCAGATGTAGCCCTTCAATCTTGGACTTCTCAGCCTTCAGAACCAGAGACATTATTATTCATTATAAATTCCATTATAATTTGTAATATCTGTGATATTCAGTTA